CGAACACGAACGAACACATCTTAATTCGTGTTCGGCTCGTTAACTTATCGAACGAAATTAACGAGCCGAACACGAGCTTCTTAACAAGCCGAACACGAGTTGTTTGTGAACAACGAGCAGTTTTGACAGCCCTAATCATCGTCTGCATTAGTCTTACTCAACTATTCAGGGGCGAGTGGCGCCAAGGTTTTAAACCAATGCTCCATAAATTATTTTGAAGAATTTCTATCCATGTTGCATTAGTTCTATCCTACTCTCAATTCTAATCCTCTAAACTCATCTACTTGTCTAATAGGCGCCTTTTATACAATTCATTTTATAAGTCCAAACCGAAAATCTATGTTCAATTACTTTATCTTTAATAAATGTCACCCTAATGATTTCTCATTCATTAATTCATCTTTCTTAATTTTTTCATGCATACATCTAAGCATTCTAATTTCCATCACAATCAACCTAAAAATTAACAATTTTATAATCCAAAAGTTAAATTCATATAGAAATAAATCTTAATTACAATTTATAAAAATTACTTTTAAATATCTATGATATTCTTTTATTGTATACTACTCCTTATCAAAAAGAAAAAATTAATTCGTGTATATTATTCAATAGAAGACCCATATATACATAATAGCAGAACCGGTACAATAAGAATAAGTACAACAAATTAAACATACTCAACAGACCATAGAGAATTTATCTAAAATAAGGGTTAAACTCTAAAATAATTCCCAAACCATTCGTATGTAGCCAATGTGGTTGGAGAGCAATACATTTCTCTAATTTAGTCCCTAAACTATATATAATCAATCCAAAATGATCCCTCAGAAACTACATTGTGATTAATTGTGTGTAGTTGAAATAAAATAGGATCAATTTTGTATCATAGTTTCTGCATGAAAGTCCATCTGAACCCATTTTGTATAGTCACAGGGCTAGATTGGAGAAATGTGATACCCCAAACTAAATTGGTAATGCTAAATATTCAGAGGGCTGTTTTAGAATTTAATCTCCACAAATAATACTAAACACAACACTTCCCCTTATGATAGAATACATATATCAAACAACTTTAAATTGTTACATAATATAAAAAACTAATGTGCCCTCAAAACCTTAATAAAAACATGTCATATGCTTGGAGCTAAGAGCTTAAGTTGTGTCAACCTTCTTTTATTGCAATATGTCCCTAATAAATGGACATTCAATCTTAATGTCCCTAATAAATGGACATTCAATCTTAATGTATTTGTTCATTCATAAAATGCAAGACTACCAACAATATATATGGTAGTAAATATTATCACAATTTAAAACTGGGTTATGCAAAGATTTCATACTATTTATAACTTCAGAAGGGTTTATCCCAAAATTAGAGAAATAACCTTCACCGCATCACCCTTTTTCCACCATAGAATAGACTTGACAATTACCATCCTAGCCATTTCATATATTGCTAGCCTTTTTGTCAAATATATCCCAATCAAATCATCTCTTCCAGTTTTGCACAAACCAGTAGTCTACACATACTTTAGGCTTTTTTAGGCAACATTATTTTCCACACGCCATAAGTAGCTCCGCAATTTTCCAAATGTGTTAAGGAAACCTAACGAATACGGACTTATATTTTATAGCACAAGAAACGACATACAGTATGTGATAACCTTTCTTATTTATTAAAACAAGTTAATGATAGATAATTTCTCTTACTAGTAGGCCATTCTACTTCAAAATCCCAAGCATGAAATACTTTCAATTTGAAATGATCTCATATTTTAGAGTGAGCCAACCATGAATAAAAAGAGTGGATAAAAAATAATTTTGCTCATACTTTTAATGAAAATAAATAGTTTGGCCACCTGCAATTTTTTGATGAAATAAAAGACACAAATAAAAGCAAAGAAGAGAACTCCACAACATTATTTATACAAAAACTATCGCTTATCGATACATCTTTTCGGTACTTTTATTTTCAAAAGTTTAAAAAGAACACCGAGACTCCTACAAAATCTATTTTATATAATGGGTTTACCGCAAATACTTAACTCTCCTTATCCAAAGATTGAATTATTTCCATGAAGTTCATAAAGTGCCACATCTGAAAGTTTTCTCAAGCATAAAAACTTTGAAAACAAAATAGAACATTAATAAATAGGCATCTAAAGTTTATATTCTAATTGAATTCACTACCTAGAATCAAAATATATAATTCAAGCCTCTAAAGCAGAAAGAGCACTTTACCAAACAGGATAAAAAACACATCTGAAATAACTATGAAGCAAACAAATGCTACAGACAGTTTCATCATAATATATGATATAACTTCACCTACACAAAGATAACCTTAATTACTCAACTATGGAGGATTATGCCAAATTCTTGGTAAATTTCTTCAGCTAAATTAGTTGAATCTGTTTATCCATAAGAAGTAGATGCAAAAGTATGCATGTGGCTTTGGAAAGGAGCGTTCATATGTGTGCATCCTTCATGTCAACATTTGTGCCTACGCATTTTTACACTTTTGCATCTTTGTGAAAGGATGATCCATGGAGCCAGGGAAGAGGGAGCAAAGTAATGAGGAAAAGAGAATTTAGCTCATCAAGAGTATAAAGTGCGTGGTGGTGGAGGAAGACTAACAATATGGTATTCAAGTGTAGAAGCTTGATTATAGTTTTAATAATATTTTTTACTTTTTTATAGAAGATCAACCAAGCTCTAAATAGGAGAAGACCACTGAGTATAACATTCACAAACTAACCCATTCTAAAATCATTCCATTAATTTCTATTTCAATTCAAGGATTACAAGGATATTTGTAAGTACTACAAAGCAAAGGAGGGGAGTCTGTCATATATGAAGAAAAGTACAACATTAACTTTTTTCATACAATTTTGCATACAAAATTTCATGGGCTGGTATTCCAAATGCATGTTAACTTGGAGAAATGTATAAAAATATTTTTTTCATGATAAAAATTTGCATATGCATGGTTAACTTGCATTAGCATTATTTTCAGGTATTTCTTGCTAGTTGTCCAAGCTATCTCGAAGGAATGTAAGGAGTTGTGTACTTCTCAACAATTTTGTTATGAAAGTCTATGCTACATTATGCAGATAATGTTGGTTTTCTTCAGCAAACAATTCTATTGAGACAAATAGGTACATGAAGTATAATGAATAATTTAATTATCAGCATAACATGATTGCAAAACTCCAAAACATTAAGATCAAGGAGTTTTATCAGAGCTTAAAAAAAAGAATAGATTTTTCTGATAAAATGTGCATAATAAAGTCAAAACTTCAAATATGCACATTAATAAATATTCTCATATGAATCCAAGGTGAAAATGGACAAGAGTGACAAAAAATTTAAATTTTAGATAGGTAAGGATGGGATGGGATCCCAAACATTTGAACGGACTAACACTAAAAGTACTACAAGGACTCAATATTGTCAGCAATGGGGATGAGCCTAAAGCGTTGGTGCAGAAGCACAAAGGCTATAGATAGTAACAAGAAGGGTGTGGCAGAGTGAGATTCCAAGTGCTAGCATTTGGGTGGCCGTATCGAGCTAGGAACCACAAACAACAATGAGGAAGATGAGGAGAACAGGAGGTTGGCTGATAGGATTAGGACTAACCCTACTCTAGTACCATGTAAAAGAAAAATTAATTCTTGCATAATATTCTAATAGAACCCCCATCTTGCATAATATTCGAAATTTACAATATATATATATATATATATATACAGACACACACACAAGTAGATATACACATACATATGTACATAGACATATACGTAGATATGTACGTAGACATATCTAGAGATATATATACATATATATATTTATATAGATATATGTGTGTGTGTGTCACTGTGCGTGCGTGCGTGCGGTGCGTGCGTGCGTGCCTCTCTCTCTCTCTCTCTCTATATATATATATATATGCGTGCCTCTCTCTCTCTCTCTCTCTCTCTCTCTCTCTCTCTCTCTCTCTCTCTCTCTCTCTCTCTCTCTCTCTCTAATGATTATCTTGTGTCGCGTACTCAGATCAATTGATTGGGCATCTGCTTGTCAGTTATAAGTCCCCTCGGATCTGGGGTTTGATTTCCCCCGGTGGAGGGCGTGGTACTCGAATTGTTAGGCGCATCGGTGATGACTAGGACTCGTATAATAGCCTCAGGCCATTCCTTTATATATATATATATATATAATGATTATCTCCATATAATAGAAAGGAACATAATAAACAAAATTATAGAAAATAAATATACTCCAGTGAACATAATTAGTTTAGCTTCTTAAAATATTATATCTTATGCCAACATTCTTAAAGCAATTCATCATTTTTAATTGGCCAATGTTAACTCCATAAGTTATATCCTCATTTGTATCACCACTCTTTACTAAAATAGATGCAAACACTTAAATCAACATGCCAAGGTTTAAACCTATCATACCTAGATAGTGGCATTGTTGATCAATGGCATTGCCTTGATAAAAAAAAATCAACTTTAATCCTTCAATTGTCTCCATTTCATCAATCAACATCAATCTCAATCTCACAAATGAATTTTATCATAAAAATATATTGGGTGGAAAATTAATATTTTTCCCCATAAAACATGATTATTTTTCCCCATAAAACATGAGTCTTCATTACTAGAACATAAGTAGCAAACAAGTATAAAGCATACAAATAGTTGGAACAAAAAAAAAAACTGAAACTCGCAAAACCAAGATTTACATTAGTAAAATAAGATCCAACTTGGGAAGAAACAGTCTTAGAGAAAAACGCAGGCTTGGTAATTAGTGAGTGCACACAGTGCAAAGGTGTAGTCGTAAGCACACCTGAAGATGTAAGACAGCAATATAAGGATAACAGTTGCAACATGATGAGACATTGAAACCCCAAAGTCAGACCGCTTTGTTTCCCAGAACATCAATGCAAATATTGAATATGTGTAAAATCCAGCAGCAAACATATAAGAAGCCTTGAGTTTTAACCTGAAAATAGAATTGCAAACTCAAATCTCAATAATTCCTAGCAAAGAGATGTCTGCATAAATAAATTCAAGTAGTTTTTAAAAACATTTAACTACATACTTTATCTTTTGGTCAGGCCAAACCTGATCTCCTGGCCCTTCCCAAAAATATCTTGTGTCTTTGAACCATGGCTCATTGTACGTAACATACAGAGATAATAGTTCTCCTGAAAGAAAATATAAACATTTCCAAGCTGACTCCTTGAATTTTCTTATCTTTTTTCTTCCATCTTCTGTTTCCAAATCAACCTTCTCAAATTTATTTCCTAGTACAAAACGATTTGCAGCTTTCTACACAAAAAAAATAAACATAAATTAAGGAATTCTAAAAATTAATTCTGTTTCGGACTTCCCTAAATTTAAACTCACAAAAATGGCCTGCCAGAGGATGACTTAGGTGATCGATGTAAAATTTGTAGACTCAGTTATCATGCTAGGATCAACCATGCCTATATAGCGGCAAATACATTGTAGCTAGAATCCTAAATCCAGATTGCACAGTTTGTTTAGTAAAATTTAACCTTCACTTCATAGCTACCTGATACCATTAGAAAGGTTAACCCAATATATGCATTCAGTGATGGCGTGGCCAATGAAAATAAACAGAGGAGAAGAGTTACAACTTCTTAGAAAAAAAAAAAAAACAAACAATAAAAAAAAAAAACAATAAAAAAAGGTATTTCAGTTTCCCACATAAAAAAAGGTATTTCAGTTTTCCCACAGAAAATGAAATTTCGTTGCAGCTGCCAAATGGCAATAACCAGCTTGATACCCTACTGCACGATTAAAAAGCAAGTTGAACTACTCATCCTTTTTCTCATATATTTTATTGCAGCTAGAATTCACTTCTAATCAAGATCCCATCTAAACAAAGTGTTACCTTTCCAAATCAAATTGATTTTAAAAAATTTCCTAGCAATATATCCTCCCAATCTTACTCACCAGTCCCTAATTTGATTGGACATTCATCCCAAATCATAACAGATCCAAAAAAATCAATCACACAGTCTGCGGGTTTCCATGCTAGAGTTTATTTCTTCAAAATTTTCCATCCTCAATCAAAAACAACGGAAGGAGTTTCGGAAACACAAACCTCGAACAAGAATCTATCAAGAAAAAATCGAACGAAGGGGAAGAGGAGGATGAGGAAGGGCAGAACGTAGAAATCCTCGTACGCCGGATATGATTCCAACTCCCAATCAATAGAACTTAGGAAGGCTTCCAACATTTTTTCAGTCGAAAATTAGCCAAGAGTCGGGAGATCACAGCAGAACAGCGAAGAGAGGGAAGAAGAAGAAACTGGGAATCGAGTTCTCCCTCTTCTCTCCCCCCTCACTCTCTGTGGCAATCTGAGTCTCCCTCTCACTCTCTCTCTCGCTCTCTCTATCCCTTGCTATCAGGAATCTAGGAAGCACAGAAAATAGAATGGTGCTGGGAGACCATTTTTTTCCTTCAGTAGTGTATTTATGTTGGATGGCGCATGAAATTGCAACATTCCTTCTACAATCCGACTATAAGTGGATAACAGTTGGCAATTACGTTCTGTTGACTGCAGATTTGAGGAAGAGTTTGACCAGCTTAATTCTTAGATGTTTTGTAGTTTTAAATAAAGATTATGTATTAAATAATTAAAAAATAAAAATTAATATTATATGTCTTAAGAATTTTAAAATTAGTGAAATATGTTTACTATATATTTTATAGAAATTTAAGTTGATAAGCTCGTGAAAACAACCTCATGAACTTTTGAATAAAAAAGCTGCTTAGCTCTCTCTTCGTAGCGTCTTCTCCATCTCCTGCGATTGACTTTCGTGTGTGATTGACTAACAGGAAAGTTCTAGGGATAAGTTTCTCTCTCCATTTCCAACTAGTTGTTCTAGATTAGCCATGTTATACATATATTGAGTTGAGTTTAAGATATCATTCACACTAAAAATCATAAACCCAAAATGACATAGTCATGATGAAAATAAGTTTCATTCCTTGAATCTAGAAAATGACAAATAAGTCCAAACATGATTTTATAGGAATTGATTATGGTTGAAATAAGTTTCAAATATTATTTAATTATTATTTTGATATAGTTTGAATAAGGTTCCCTCAGTATATTTTTTTTAAAATTGACTCATTTGATTTTTTTTTTTTGTTGTATATGTAAATATGTTCTAATCGTACATATAAATATGCATTGTACTTTTCATGTCGCATTTAGAACCAAGGATGTGATAAGAAAATAGTTAAGAAATTTGAGTTCAATAAACTTATTATCAATGATAAGGCATCCTATTTTAGCCATTTTTTAAAGAGTGATGAACAATATTTGTCAAGGGTAGAATGGTTGGTGAAAAATGAGAGTGAGAGCTATTTCATTGCATTCAACATTAGAGGAAAAGACATTGTATTTTGATAAGTGAATTTATACTCATTCAATCTAGAAAATGACAATCTGAGTAATTCAAAAGGAGTAGGTAGAGTAAGCTCTTAGATTATTACTTAGGTAGAGAAAAAAAATTGAACCCGGAGAGGATTACAATTAGTGGAATGATGTTAGAAGGGCTATATTAACCATGAAAAAATTAGTAGAATTGTTGTTGATATACTTGAATTAATTGAAGATGAGAAAACTTTTTTGGGCACTTATAGAATAAGATAACGTAGGTGAGGATATTGAGAGGGTTAAAGAGTTATATGATGCATTATGAGATCTCAACCCTAAAAAGGATGGTTCGACTCAATATATTAATGAATAGCTATACCATGGAATTGCAGTACTGGACTTTTGAAATCATCCCAAATTAGAAAAAAAAATTATAAAGTTCCTTGAAATCAAAGCATCAAATATGTTAAGCTAAAAGAGTAATGAGGGCTAACAGACAAAGATTTTTTACTATTATTGATGGATAAAGATGTAAAGTATGTGTCATAATTTCAAATTATGCAAAGTGTATTTATTTTTATGGTGGATCATTAAATTTTCACATTTTTTTAATAAGAAATTTTTCATCATGTGTTTGTGCATAGAAATATTAAAGAGGACTTCAATATGTATATTGTAAATTCTTCTACTCTGTCGACTCTAACCAGCTAAAGTTAGAAAGAAGAAAATTCACACCCTTTTCTTAAGATAAAAGTGGTATAGCCAATGAAAACACAATCAACTATAAGCTAGTTCATGCCCTTATATGAAGAGCTAAAATAACTTTTGGATATTTTATAAGAGTTGTGGAGTGGTTAGTTTAGATTAGAGAATAATTAAATAAAATTAAACTAGAAATTGGATGCTTTAATTAATCTTATTCAAAGGTTGAAGCAAACAAGTAGTATACATAAAGAGGAGGAGGATATGATTATGGAAAGCAAGGAGGTAACTAATATTAGCTCAGCTATTCACTCAATTCAGTTGAGAATGAGGTCTAAAAAGAGAAGGATATGGGTTAAGAGTTTAAAGAAAAGAAGAAAGACATAAGGGATAAATTTTTCATCATCATATATACATATATGGAGATTTAAGAGATAAGAAATGTCAAGCCATCACTTCCCATTATACAAATTTATTATGGTTAGAAAAAGAAAGCATAAGAATATAAAGTATTAACTACAATTATCATTAATCTTTCAAGAAAGAAGCACACTCTCATTAATATAAGTTCCATTGATCCCCTCTATTTGATTAGTGACAAGAAATTGTATTCTTTTAAGTTTTGGATGTCAAGTTTGGTTAATAACTACAAAGAGAAGAAGGTATGAGTGGATAGTGGAAGTATAATGTTGTTTCAATGATCGAATGCTCTCACGTCCTTATTAGATAGTAATGTGATAGATCCCTTACTTAGTTAAATTTAAATAAATCTAAATTCCATTAATTTTTATTGTAACACTATTTTTTTATCTCCATTTTATTTAAAATTTTAAAATATATTAATTAATTATGTTACAAAATAAGCAAGTGAATATGACACTACCTAAAGACTTATAGATCGAGCATAGTTATCTAGATGAATTCTTTGATCATTAATTTAGATTACGACTCTTTTCATACAACATGATAAAGAGGAAGGACTTGTTCAAGAGGAATGAAAAAGCCCTAATATACTTTAGAGTGGAGGATAATTTCTTTAAGTTTTAGATAAATGAAAAATTCATATTTTTTTTCTAATAAATAAAATAAAACATATTGGATATGAAATATACAATGTGTGAAATCCATAATATTGTATGAATCTAGCATTTTTGGCACCAAAATTTGGACCTTGTTTTTAATAATGAGTCAATTCAACATGTGTTGCTTAAGATATTGACATTATTTAACAAAATGCATCAATTTTATTCTCTAAAACCTCCTTGAAAAAATAGGAGGGCCACCATATATGAGTTTGTGTGATAAAATAGTTTTATAAACTAAGTAAAATTTTAAAAAATCATGTAAAATATTTTCATACAAAGTTTGGCTACTGTATTTTATTGCATTTTTAGCCAAAGTTGTGAGTACATGTGCTATTATATGTAATCTAACTAACTACCAACGAAATTAATTTTGTGCGTTACACTTGATTATACAAAAGGATATTGAAATCATTTATATGTTAGTTCTAAAAGTATATTCATTTGTCTATTCAAATATGATTCATTTATAAATAATATTATTGTAATTTATTTATATAGAAATCTATTATAAATATTTATTTTTTTAATGAATATTTGTAGTCAGTAATATTGTACATCATAACTTGTGTGATTACTTTCTAATTTAATATAATTATTTGATTATTTTCTACTATGATATGCCGATTGGATTGAATTTATTATTTTATAGCTTTTGGTTAATATTTTATTATTTATATATTAGAATGTATTATATCTTTGTTATCTCATCAATCATATAATAAAAGTTATTGAAATGCATTTTGATGTATTCATCATAAGCAAAACATTTTCAAATCATATTTAATTTTTCTTTAAATTTTGTTTGAATCATGTTTAAACCTTGCTCAAACTTTGATCAAACCAATGTCATCTAAAACAAGCTTTAAATAAGTGTCTCATGATAATAGAAAATGGTGGTTTTACAATCCAAAAGCTACTTTAGGCGTTGTTTCCCATGAAAATAAAGGCAAACACATATCTTCAAATATGACAGTTTTATAAAGTCAAATTTTCTTAATGAATTTAAAAATTAATAATGTTGTTAAAATTATTACAAATAATAAGATTAATGTGTGACACATATTTTTAAATTTTCTATTAATAATTTTTTTTAAAAAAAATTGATTTTATATTTTCCATAATAAAGTATTTTGATAAAATTACCTCTTATATTTTATTTGTAGAAAAATATCATCCAAATTCTTGTTTAGATAAAAATACCCTAAAAGTACAAGTAATTTGCTTAAAATATTAATGTTATTCTACTTATAATACAAAAAATATCATTCATAACCTTGTTTTAAGTAAGCTCAATCCTTATTTTATTCAGTATACATATTGGTTTGACTATTCAAATCGCTCTAATTGATTTTACAAGATTTAAGATATTTTGCTTGTTTTCTCTCATGACTTCTCTTGTGAGCTTCTCTTCTCCTTAGCATGATGTTGAACATGTTAATCTCCTTTGCTTATCCTCATATTCAATTCTTTAAATACATAACATTAGATTCGAAACAAAATTAAGTGAAGAGTTACGCCTCATAAATTTTATTCTTGAGTTTAGTGGGGTTTAAAGCCTTTTAGTAATGTGAAAAAAATGACTAGATGATTGTCCATATCAGCTTGAATATTAGTTAGAAATAAGATTTTGGGGTAAATTTGAGGACTTACGTTGTGAATTTCTAGTTAAAATAAAGATAGAGGTGTGAGGATGATTAAGAAGAAATTCTAAGATGTGAAAAGTACTTATGAATAAACAATCAATACCACTAAGAAAATGTCAAGTTAGGCTAACAAGCACTAACCTAAACTAACATTCCTATTTATGCAAATTATATTGAATCTGATGAGTCTAAAGCTAACAACATTCAAAAAGAAGATGAAGCTTTAAAAATATAAAAGGTAGGTGGCCATTAATGATGGTACACTGTCATTAATTTATTTCCTCTTCTAACATTATTATGTGGTCGACCCATAATTAGTTTTTAAATTAAGAAATTAAACTTCTATATCCAAAATGTAAAATTTAAATAATTAAATATAAAATTTTTTATTATGTTAGGTCTTGTGACAACCCTTGATTAGGCTCTGGCTATGAAAAGATATTGGTCTTTTACATGGGCTCCCATAATTAAATGTTTAGCTTCATTTTATTAATACAAATTATGTGTTATTTCAAATACTTCATGCCAATTTGATTTTTACTCTATAAAGTTGAAATCTAAACTATCTTCTACAAGTTGAGATGTAAGTGTCCAATATAGTGTGAGTTACCCATGTATCTCTTGCATGTGTTTTGTTCTTCCAAAAAATCAAAAATAATCATTAAAAAGTTTTTTAGGC